CGAGGATCTGCCGGTAAGGATCTGGTACCCAGAGCAAAACAAAGGTGAAAATGCTGAAGGGTATAAAGAGATCATGGTGCCATTAGCCTATTGAAGCCATTTAAAATGTTAGGCATATGATATCCCTATTGCAGGCCCTGGGGCATCAAACGCTGAACCTCTCCTGCCTTTCCTTAAGATTTACTGAACCTTTACCTAACCCCGGCATCAAGTTTGACCCCCACGTTTGGTCTTTAATCAAGACCGCTTTCCTTCACCTCCGACCGCACCTCACTCCCAACGCAGCCAAAACCCTTGTCCACACCTTTGTTACTTCCCGGCTCGACTGCTCCAATGCCCTCCTCACCGGTCTCCCCAGTTCCACTACCAACAAACTACAACTGATTCAGAATTCCGCCGCACATCTTCCCACCCACACTAAACTCCATACCCCCATCACGCCAGTCCTCACCAGGCTCCACTGGCTCCCTATCATAGAACAAATTGATTTCAATATCCCTCATTCATCTACAAATCCCTTCACACCCCTACTGCCTACTTTTCTGACCTCCTTTCTCTCACTCCATTACCCATTGCATTTCTGGCTTCCACCCTTTAGAATTCCATCCCGCAGGCCCTCCGTCTTACTTCCTCACTTGCTTCCTTCAAGGTACTTCTCAGGACCTTCCTACCCCTCCTGATCCCAACCCCCTGCTCGGGTCCAAATCCCTGACTGTCCAGCACTTTGGGACGTCCTCCCGACGACGAAAGGCGCTGTACAAATGTAATTTGTTGTTGTTGTTCTCCGTTTCTCCCACACCCTGGCTGGAGACTCGTCCATTTCCTAAACCTCATGTAATGTCTGACTAATGACCTGATCCAGTACCTCAACTCCCAGTGCTAACCAGCGCCACAAATGCAACCAGCTGTTCTCTGCAACCCCTGGACTGCCAATGCCAATAGCTCCCTCTGCAGCTGAGTTCCTATAGCACAGCAGTGTTTGAAGGACCAGACCGGGGCTGAGCCGCAAGGGATGTTCCCCTGTCAATAAAGATAAATTATTTCCACTGCTCAATGAATCAGTGACTGGAGGTCAACAATTTAAGATGATTAGAAAGACAACAACAAATTTATCTCGCTACAGTATCTTTCACATTGGGAGGACATCTCAAGTTTATCATCCAGAGCCCAAGAGGAAGCTAACAGGAGCAATAGAAGGTTTAGAATTGTCACGGATAATATTAACCAAAATATTATCCACCATAAAATATTGTCATGGCTAATATTTTGGTTTAAGGGGCTTCAGGCAAGGAGCATGATGAGAGACTACAGAAGTTATGGAAGGTGTTAGAAAGGTACAGAAAGTTCTGATCAAATTTAAAGAAAGAGAAATGGAAGTTCGATACTTGGAAAGAGGGGGTGGAACCAGACCCTGGGAAGGTTAGGAAAATAGAACTGATGCCACCCCTCCTGATGCCAACCCCATGACTGTCCAGCGCCTTGGCATATCCTCCTGTCATTTTTGTATAAGCTGCTCCTCGTGGGTGGTGGAATTCGGGAAAAGAATTTGAGAGAGAGAGAGAGGCCATGGCATTTCAGGAGGTCAGAATCAGAAGTGAGGAGATGTTGGCCTAGGCAATCTCCATCTTGTTCACGTTGAAGCAATTCTGTCAGAACTACCAGGAACAGACACTCCGAGGTTTTCTCAATGCTATTCAATAGGTCGTTGCTGAATACATTGAAGTGGGCCAGGTTTGGTGCGACTCCTATTGATCCACTTATCCTGGATAAAATCACAGACTTGACCATTTACTGGCGTGTCTTCCAGTTTCTCCAAGCACCTGGTCAAGTCACAAGGCCTTAGCGAAAGCAATGTCAGGACATTGCTTTCCTTGCAGAATTTACTATAAAGTGGAAGTGACTGAATTTTGTAGGCGAACATACAAGTTGTTTGTTGTTTGAAGCAAAAGTACGAATTGAAAATTCTACAATGCTCCAACAAGAAAGAAAATAATAGACGAGAGGAACAGAATCAAATTAAATTCCAAAACCAAAATAAAGTTCTCTTGGACATTATTCTTTTTACTGGAAGTGGACAAAAATAATTAAAACTTGTACTTTATTTTAAACCGGCCAAGAAAAAGCATACTATTAGTTCCAGGTTGAGTTCCAGTTCCATATGGTTGTATTCAGTTTTAAATAAAACTTAATTACATTTTGTTTCCATTTTAATCCATTCAAGTGATTTGCAAAATTATATAATCACTCCCTTATGTTACATTCTTATCAGGTTAATGCCATTTACAGATCGTTTTTACAGAAATGATCAGCTTGTTTACCTCATAGATAAGTCAGTAAAATGAGAAACAATATCTGAAGATTTTTAGAAAAGTAATTAACTGTACATATTTTTCTTCAACTATAATTGACAATTCTTGAATTCTGTGGGGGTATAATAGACAACATTACATCAATTTACATAATATGAATTGGTTAATCGATTTGATCATGCAAAAATGCTGCTTTCATTCTTGGCAATTTATAGTAGCATTGCAATACCTTGTACATAAGTGCATATTACTTTGTGCTTTGCCTTTTTTTTAAAGCTGCAATATATCTGAGAAAAAAATGCTTTTATTTTAATTAGTATAAAATATTGTCTTTTCAAGTGTAACCTTTATTTCTCATCCCCCTTAATTTTAACGATTTTGCTACCTTTATCACCAAGGTAAGAACAACAGTTAAGCGTCATTTTCTTTGTGATAATGTCGTACATAAACAAAGAAATCATGTTTGCAATACATTTGATGCAAACGGTGACAACACATTGACATATTTATGGAACAAAAAGGCAGATGAAGTTTCAGCAACAAGTTGGGTTTCAAAATACAATAAAACTGCAATGGAAACCATCTTAAAGGTTAGGGTGGGAAGCTTCATTTTGCCCCTTGGCAAGTTCTAATGCATCCATGGAGTACATGTTTTTTTCCTATTCTTACTTCCTATATATAGTATCTTGCATTTATCGCTTTGAAAAT